ACAGATCCATTAGCATGGGTGCAGGCTCTCAATTTTATCATTATGCCCTACTGTTTACTTATTATAGCCTATTGTTTCTATTCTATTAATATACTTTTTATTAAGGTCAAATATATATGTGATTACATCACTGCATCATGGTTTACTACTGTATTGCTTTCTGTACTTAGGAGACCCCCTGATGCTAAATGGAGATTTTGATGTGCCTCCTCTACGCACCAACCTCCCCCGCTCTTTCTCTGCCCCTTACCCACCTCTGGAGGGGATCGCTGAGGAGGTCACAGCAGCTGACTCCTGGCAGTGGGACCCCAGTGAAGCCAACTATGCTTGGCAGCAGCAGTCTGCACAGGATCAGATGACAGAGGAGGGCTACCAGCAGGCTCTGAGGGTGGAGGGTTACATCCTAGGCCTCATCCAGCGCCATACCCTCTCACCACGTCCATGTCAGCCTCGCACCACCCTGAGCCCTGACCCCCCATACTGCAGTGCCTCAGGACACAGCTCCCTACACAGGAGAACTCCTTCTCTAACCACTGAGCAACGCCTTCCTGACCCCCATCTTCCGCCTCATGTTGACCTTTTGGCAAACCCTAAGAGCCAGGGATGGAGTTGTGACCCGTTAGAGGGGGAGGCCTGTGGTGGAGAGGCCCCATCTTTGGAGGAGGACTGTTATTTGGCTTTGCCCTACCCCCAGTCCAGGCCACACTCCCTGGCTGGGAGACTACCATCACCTCTGCCCTCCCTGGACCCTAACTGTGGGGTTGGGGCTCTTGACCCCTCTCGTGAACCCCCTTCCCCCCAACATTATCTACATCCACAACCCCCTATTCATCACATGCACAATTTAGTAAGTGCTCAGTATATCCCTGGACAAGCCTGTCATGCCCCTGTACGCTCCCCAAGACACTACAACCCAGAGCAGCCTAAGCCCAGCCGAGTTGCCACCTCTCCCGACCACCCCAACTCCAAATCCAGAACATCTAAGAAAAGTCACAATGAGCGACAGAAGTCTAAGAAATCAAGCAGCAAAGCCGGTCGATCCCAGTCAGAAAACAGCCTCCTGGGCCAGAGAGTGCTCCCTGAGAGGAGGTACAGTACCACAGAGAGGCACCAAGGCAGAGGGGACCCTGCTCAGAACCCATGCCAGGCCACTGGACCACAGGTTGGCAACAACAGCTACAATGGGAGCCGACGCTGGTGCTCCAACCTGGAGCTCAGCCAGGACGAGGGGGAGACCAACGCAGGCCAGGTACACAGACGACCACCTCGAAAAACTCGCCATGGTCATCCTTGCTCCCATTCGCAACCCCAGAACTATCACCAGCAGCAGCGCTGGCACCAAGACTTTCAGGAGAGAGCACCTCTCTGTCAGGGAGAGGAGGGCTACGGCGGTGCCGCCCCAGCAGAGTCTGAGTCTAGCATGAGTGAGGTGTATTCTCCTGCCTCCAGCTCACTGTCCAGTGACTCAGATGAGAGTGGGGGGCTGGTGTGGCCCCAACAGTTACCACCACGTCTTGCGTCTACCTCCTCCTCATCCTCTCCTTCACCGCAAGCCACTGCCAATGCCCCATCCCAACCAAAAGCCTTTGTCAAGATCAAAGCATCCCACGCTCTCAAAAAGAAGATTTTAAGATTCCGCTCAGGGTCCCTCAAAGTCATGACAACTGTATGAGCAAATGATCAAACCTGTTTGAAACCCATAACCCATACTAATGTGTTGTAAAACCATTTTCAGAAACTGTGATTGTTACTTTTGGTCACAAATCATATTTCAAACAGCAGATCCTGTCTTTATTTTCAGCCTACCTCTAACTACAGTATGTTTTTAAGGAGATGCATTGATATTAATGAGCACGATTAAAGATCTACTTAGAGATTCTTTATCTGATGTGTCTGGCTGACAACCAGTTGACACAAGGCTAATGGCCATTATCCAGTTCTAATGGATGATAATTGATGCCAAGTCACATTGTGTTGACATGGACCGCATTGAGGCTGAGTGACTGAATACGCTGCCAGTTTTTTTCTTAATGTCTGATGGCCTTGTAGTTAATTAATCAGGGACTTATGGTTAATTAATTCCTAGACTGTAGAGTTGGCCAAATATAAGTCCATGCCACTGATGTTTGAAACACTTTTAGACTGTTTTTGATTGTGAACAATACATCTTGTATTGCTACATATCAACATAACAATATAACAATATTGTTATGTTACATACCAATAGAAATGAGATCAAATGTTTTTATTGCATAGACTTCTTCAAGAATTTTGGGTTAATTTGCTTTCTCTTTTACAAGTACAAAGTATCCAAATTGGTTCCCTAGAAATTTACTTTTGAAGAACTATGTAATTGAGTGCTATCATAAAAGAGAAATACATTTTCTTTAAAGTAAACCCAAATCATTTCTCTTAATATCCACTGAAACATGTATTCCTAAAAAGTCAAATTTTGCATGATTAAGTACCGACTCAATGTCTTTACATTCCTACAAACCAGTACCAATCTGTATGGTTATTTCCAAGAAACTATTCAAAAATGATTAGGATATTATTATAAAAGTACATGCCCAATAAAAGAGCACTAACTAAAACATTTTGGCATGTGGTACCAGCAAGAGTTCCAATAGCAAAGTCTTTCCTTTGTGCTGGAGTGAACAAATCTGCGTTTACATTTGGTTACCATACAGTATCAAAACTCATGGGCTGATTGTGAATGCCTAAGTCGAGAATCAGTGTTTATTTTTAGAAATGAACATGCTCAGATCTGCTTCTTTGTAAACCTTGGATTCACACTGAAGTAAACTGTCCACTACCTCTCTTCTGCAGCCAGCTGCTTTTGGGACCGGTGAGCATAAATAACTCTGTGAGTCAGGGATGAGTTTAGTGAGGCCATACTAAGGGACCAGTGTAAATTCATGCATGCGTGTACAGTATGTTTACAGATTCAATAAAACACAGGGACACAAACTAACACACTCTGTAAATAGATATGTTTTTGTATATACCATCATGTGGCCTTGTTTTGGAATGAATGTAGCTTGTAAATAAAGACATTTTTCTCTCAATTTTGGCAGTTTTTATTACATTTACATATATTTTAAGTATATATATTTTTTGTTGTCCAAGTACACCTACTAAACTAACAGAGTGCATGAACGCAAATTAAGTATTTGACAAACATACATGCATGAAATGTTTTCTTTTGTCTCTATCCTCTGTCTTTCGCTGTCACACTGAAACCATGAGTCTCAACCAAGGTGCCCACCATCTTTAGAGCCACTGAGCATCAGCTATCTAGAGAGTGTCTCCCTCTTGTGGTGTATGGAAAGAACTGGTGTAATTGAGAACATAAATGTGTGTTTTTGTGGTGTCACTAGGGTATACTGACTGTTGCATTAGATCACCAAATCTGTGTATATTGCAAGAACTAAATATTTGAATAACTAATAACATTGCAGCCTTTTTACCTGTCAAAGGAGTTTTCACATATCCTGCCGATTGCATTTTACATCCCCCCCCTCGGCTGATGCTGCTGCAGTCTGTGAACTCATCCATAGTTTGGTGTCCCAGCTGCAAACATCACACCCTCAGTCTCTGATCGTTGTCTCAAGAGACTATAATCACACATCGCTCTCTACCACTCTCCCCACATTCAGCCACTATATGGACTGCCCAACCAGAGACAGTGGGGCCTTGGTCCTGCTGTGTGCAGACACTGGGAACACATATGACTTAATTATTGTTATTTTCTTGTACTTTCTATATTTTTGGATGCTACTGTGGCATGTTAGTTTCTCCCAATGGGGGGATCAATAAAGTATTCTATTCCATTCTATATAATATTAATAATCTTGATTTAAAAACATTCCAAAAGTCAGACTTTTTCTCTTGCGTAACAACAAAAACAACCCCAAACACTCTGAGACCATGGAAAAAACAGAAGTGTCAAGTGTTGCATGAGAAATGAATATTCACAGAAACATTGAGCAATAGTTCCCGATTTGCAATCCGGTGGCCTCCCTGGTTACACAGAAAAAATCCTTCTAGCTAATAAAAACAGCAGTGTTGGTGTGTCCAGCTTAATACAGACTTCATTTTGCCAACATGTGTGTCACATAATCAAGTCTAAACATTTACTTTATGGCAAAATCTCAGGGTTATGTCTAAGCTCAGTGGATTTACTCCTCAATTACAGTCCTTGCTGCAAAACACAATTATGTATCTGATGACGGTCAGATTTTAGTCATCTCCTTCCCATTGCTGGTACTTTTGGTGTCTGTGTTAGTGACGCTCATCTTGGTCATCGGGTCCTCGCTGACAAAGTGCAGGATATTGCGCAGGGAGCGGTTCATGCTGTCCTTGAAGCCTCTGCCCAAACATACGTACAGCAGGGGGTTGAGGCAGCTGTTGAAATAGGCCAGGCACAGCGCCATGACATGTGCCAGATAAAGTTTGGGGCTGTGAGGGGAATGTCGAGGGGTGGTCAGTATGAGGAAGTCCACGATGTGAAGAGGGAGCCAGCACAGGAAGAAGCTGAGCACCACACCGATGATGACCCTCAGTGTGCGCTTGGACCTGGTGCGACCTCGGGACAGCCCCCTCTCTGCCCTGCTGTACACCACTACATGGCACACCACGATCACCAGGAAAGGAAAGATGAATCCCATGAGGAAACGGAAAGAGGTGACGGGCCAAACACTCTGCTGAGTATAGGCAATCAGGCACTCTCGCTTGATTTCACCTGCGTGGATCTCGCGGGCGTAAACAAACTGGGGGATGCTCCCAATCAGAGCCAGGATCCACACGGCGATGCACCCAAAGACGGCCATGCGAGGTCGCCTGTTGTTCTGGCACCAGACGGGTCTGTTGACCAGCATCAAGCGATCCATGCTGATCAGAACCAGTTGTAGGACGCTGCAATACATTACCAGGTAGAACAGGCCTTTGACCAGCGTGCAAGCCAGCGGGCCAAAGTGCCAGTCGTCATCATGCGCCAGAGGGACCATGAGGAGGGGGATGGAGAGGCAGCACAGGAGATCAGCTAGGGCCAGGTTCAGGAACCAGAGCGATGTAACAGAGCGGTTCATGCAGAACCCTGTCACCCACACCACCAGAGCATTTCCCGGGACACCCAGCACCACCACCAGGCCATAGAAGACCAGAGCTGCTATCTGGATTGGTTGAATTCTAGGAATCAAAAACTCATCAAGGTCAATCAGGGTGAAGTTATAGTCTGTGAAGTTCCCGTCATCGTAGCCACCGTAATCCATTGTTCTTTAAGCTGTAGATGTAAAATATGGAGTTATAATAATGCCACTGCCATGCATAAATTCAAATTATTCAGCCCATAGAGGTACAGCAGTACAGATCCAACAGAAATGGTATGACTTCAGTAATCCTAAACTACTAATGAACGATTCATGACAACTTTTAAGAAAATTATGTTCAACCAGAAAACCACATGAAGTTAGGAGAGTTAGCTTTTCCTCTCTAACATAAAATATTTTAATTTTCAGTCTGAATTGTCTGAAATTATCTAGACATGTTAAATAGGTAAATAGTTATTGTTAGGTTATAGGTTAAATAGTTATCAAGCCAGTTTCATTAAGTTATCTTAACTTGAATGCAATTTTAAATCAACTAATGCAGAAATATGCATATAAATTGCACACAAGATTAAATTGGGGCAACAACCAACATTGTGTCAACCCAACCCATCAAAATAATGTTAAAAGGTTTATCTCAAAAAGTAAATTAGATTTTTATATATTTATCCATTTATTTATATCTTACAACCATGCATGTAGGTAAGTGGTGGAAATAGGTTCCTTCAATTAGTATAGAAAAAATATCTTATTTTCTCTTGAAGGTTACGTTACTGCTAAAATTAATAACTTTAATAATCTTTAAATTAATTTAATATCTTGTTTCTACTACAGCACCAAAGAGTGACTAAAAAAATGTAGGTATACCTGTACTTCATAGATGATCACTTAAGAAATGTTTGTTCATAGTTATTTCATCGATGAATTGATATGCAACCAAGTTAGCTGGATTTCAGTTATATATTGTACAGTTTATTTGTGTAACTGTAAGTATGTATTAGTGTTTAGTACATAAATGTTTGCATCTCAGGTTTGTTAGATTCTTTTTTTTTTTTTTAATTTGATATTTCCATAAAACCAGGTTCTAGTCTACTTTCAGACTGTTGTGGAACTATTGATTAAATGTTTTATGAATCTGTATTAAAGAATAATAAAAAAGAGAAATGAAGCGCAAATTTTTCAGCTGGAAGGGCAGAGCTCATACAGAGTTGTTTCAAAGGTCTGCCCAAGAGGACAATACAAGTTTTTGTAGCATTCGACCTTCAAACAATATTGTTCAAGCCTTCTTGTGAAGATAACATACATTCCTCAGCTGAGAAACGTAAATAATACAGAGTTCAGTCAAAATCAGACGATGACAAAGTTGTACTATTTATATGATAAATTCTACAACACAGAGAGACTAAGTAAATACATGGGTCTGTGTGGCTGAAATCCAGCTAATTTGGTTGCATGTCAATTCATGTATGAGGTAAATGTGAATTTACATTCCATAACTAATGATCTGTAAAGTATGAACTATTCACACAAAGGGATAATGACTTGATCATTTTAGAATTATTAGTAACAATTTTAATCATCATGAGTCACGCATTGGTTAACCTTATCATATTGTATATGATTTGTACTCTTCTTATTAATAATAATAATAATAGTTGATCAGATTCATATAGCGCTTTTCTGGACACTCAAAGACGCTTTACACTGTCAATTATTCATTCACACACATTCATTCTGTTGGTGGTAGCTACGATTGTAGCCACAGCCGCCCTGGGGCAGACTGACAGAGGCTGCCATTCTGCGCCTACGATTCTGGCCTCTGACCACCACCTCAAACAATCCATTCAGACGCATTCGCACCAGGCAAGGTGGGTGAAGTGTCTTGCCCAAGGACACAACGACCATGAAACAGGTTACAGGGCGGAATCGAACCGCCGACCTTCCAATCATCGACCGACTCGCTCTACCACCTGAGTCACAGCCGCCCCACTTTTTATAAAGTGTTACGGATCGAACATATGCGAGACACATATTTCATGTAAAACATGATGTATTATACTTCACAAAAATAATACAATTTAGCCCAGATGAACTACCTCTAAAAAGTAAGACTTAAAATTCGATCTTAGAAATGTCGGGGCTTACCAATCAGTGGTCTGTTGATGTTGCACTCTCACTACAAAAAGGAAGTTATACAGCTGGTCCGCTTTTTAAGAGTGTGTTGTACCCACATCCCTCATAACACACACACACACACACACACACACACATTTGTGCAAGAGTTTTGGACCACAAGTCTTCTATATATAAGTTTAAGCTGTAACTCAATGTGATTATTAACACAGAATTGGTAAAAGTATTCTGCTACTTTTACAGCACAATTTCTTTCTTTGTTTTTCCTCATAAATGATAAAACAAGAATAAACACCACAGTTCCAATAGGGTCCTTGGTTGAACTCATTGGCTTTCTGTATTGTGCTTTGCTTCCTCAGGTCCCTGGACTGCTGGAGTGGGTGGTCTTACCTTTCGTACACACCTTAAATTTGTCCGGCACAAACTAAAGAAGGTGGTGATCAAAAGTTATTAAAACGTTCCATAAAAGTCTGACGGCATCAACATGGCGGACTGTAGAATTTTGCTGAAACATTATAAAATGCCATAAAACAGGACGTGCTGTGTAGCTGGCCTGTGCATGCAATTTGGTGAAAACCACCTTTCCTAAGTGCAATTTTTGAATTAAATGTTTTATTTCTTTTTTTTCTTTTTCCTTGCATGTTTTCCTAGCTGCGTCTACTCTTTCTTTGTTCCGTGCCTGCATCTATTCTTGTAATACTTCTGCTCTGACACATTGCTTTCTATTCATAAGAAAAATGAAGTTGATGGTATCTTTAGAAGAATGTTGTAAGAACCTGATGATTCTTTGCTTTAGTTTGTTTCTTTCACACACATTTGTGGTCATTTTTACACTCCCTCGTAGGTACACATTCCTAAAGAATACTAAAGGTATACAAAAGTCTGAAAGAAAGTACCTAGTAAAACTTAAAATGAAAAAAAATTGAAATGTGTAAGGTTTGTTTAGGTTTGGTAACACTGTAGATGGTTGTAAATACAGTTTGCGCAGTTTGCATAAAAATGCTTTGTGGTTTAAAGCAAGAACAATTCTTATCGCGGGTTTAGTATTTTCTAAATGGCAATAAAATAACAAGGACAGTAAGCAACCAAAAAGTAAAAATCATGTATTAGGAGGGCAAAATACTTTATTGTCAAGTTCATAATAATCATTTTAGAATCACACAACAACTTTTCCATATGTACAAGTTATTCACAAGTTAGCCTACGCACACATGCTAGTACTATGAACCACTACAGTTCTCAGTGGCATCTACAACTGTTGTAATGAAGACCAACTAGAGCTGCCTTCCTCTTTGTGTCATCATGCATGACAAACTGAATATCCAATCTTCTCCAAAAGCTAAAATAAATCTGCCTCTCACCAGTGATGTTTGCAACCCTGTGGTTAAAATGCTGATTTCAAAAATCCCAACATTAGTCAGCATCCGTTATTCGCATAAAGACATGTGATGTGTGATGTGGCTGCCTTATTGACGACTTTAGGTCAAATAATGTAATCACTAACTTTAGTCAGTGAGGTAAGTTTTCTTTTTTTTCTTTTTATCACAGCTTACTATCGTCTGCACATTCAAGACATGTCAGAGCAAAAACAGCATGTCAGTCCAGAGAACAGCCAACACATTTTACAGCAACTTAATAAATACTACACACTGAAGGTAGAACCAGGTAAATGTCCTGAAAAGTCACCTGTGAGGTGTAAATGGTGAGGAAGATGTTCATTAAGGTACAGGCTGCTGTCTGTATTAGACACATAGATGAAGTGTAGAAAATGAACAAGAAAATTATTGCTGTGGCAGGATGTCCTGATTTTATCGTGTGGCATCACCAAGATGTTAGAATTTAGGAAATAACAAGGGAAGTGAAACATGAAGTCACAACGTCAGCAAAATGTTCTCTAAAAAAAAGCAAAGATACCATTTTGCTTAATTACTTCAGCATCAGCAAACTGAAATCTATGTAACTGAGAATGTGTTTGGATGTGTTCTTGTTACCACATTTGTAGGCTTGTGTGTGTATGGCTCTGCTTGTCCACAGCGATATATATCAGAACACAAATGTCCCCAGATGGCATTGAGCTGTCGATCATTTAAACATATTTTGGTACTTTGTTGCATTTCCCCCTGTGCAATGTTTTGTTATAGTTATTGCTATAGTTCATGTCAGGATGTTTCTTCACTGGGTCATCGGTGGAGATGAGTTCTCAGAGGAAACATCAGTTGAAGGCTGGAGCACTGCTTGGTGGAAGTGTAGGAGTGTCGTCTCGAAATGCATCTGACTGGAGGTCTGCATAAAAAATGACAATGTTTATACTGACATATATTACTGCTGCACAATACAGTCTTCAACTTGTATTTTCAGTAGAAACCCCCATGTAGATCGAGTTCCAAACAGGTTTCTGACACGTGTAATGTAATAAGGTTAGATCACAGGATCCTTTTTTATCATCTCGCTTTTTTTTGTGAGTGAGTTTTTCAAAATAAAGCCAAAAAAGATTTAAAAATTCTACAAGGTATGTTGATTTTGTGTTTTCCCAGCTGATTGGTTTTGAAGATGTATATCCATCTGCCTTTTTTTCTGCCTTTTTTTTTTTTGGTATTGTTAATATTTTATTTTATTTTGGTATCTGTTTTCTGCTTCTTTGCACCAATGGACCAAGTCAAATTCCTGGTGATGTAAAAATTACTTGGCAATAAAACTGATTCTGATTCTGATTCTAAGCAGCCTAAAACATATGACACATTAAAACAGTACCAAATCTAGACGTGCTTGTTCATTTGGCAGATTTTTGTAATATATTACCAAAACTTTTCTAAGCTGTTGCTTGGATTTTGAAAGAGGCAGTTGGCATATTACAAGTGTATGTGGTTAATAAATCCCATTTATCCTAACTCTGTGTGTCTTTGCTAGTTATGTGGTGTGCAGAAGCCATGCAATAACAGTTTCTCAGCAGCATCCAGTCTGAGCAAAGCTGGATTATCAACTGGGATTAACAACTGGGCAAAAAAGGCAACTGCCCAGGAACTCCAGACCCTCAGATTATCTAGACCGTCATATTTATTTTCTGTCAACCAATTGATCATTTCAGCTCTTAAGTACTCATTGGTTTTAAGAAGCCTGAAGCGTTATTGAAAATGAGATATATATTGGGGGTTAATGGGGGCCCAAAATGCCAGACTTGTTTCTTGTATTTTACATCCACTCAGTTTCGTTAATTACATTTTTTCCTTTCTGTTTTTTTTTTCTTTTCTTAATTATTCAGCTTGAAAGTACAACATTAACTGTAACAAGTTCTTAATCCTCTCATCCTGTCTTATACAGGAACTCTGTATCAAAATCTTATTTTAAGACCTTTATGTTTTAGTTTATAGTTTTTTTTAATTTACTTTTAAACATGTACTGTTCCACTTGCGTCATTTTCAAGTCTGCAACAAACACTAAAATTAACCACCATGAATTGTTGTCAGTTGGTGTCAATGTCAAGCTGCTCTATTTTAGACAGTGAATCATATTTTAGATGGGCTGGGACTTGTCGCTACGGTAACAAAGAAAATGTGCACCTCGAGTTTGGAATTTGACTGTCCCATCTTGGTATTTTTATAAGTGGGCATGGCAAGGATCTGACTGAGATCCCAACACTATGCACATGATTACAGTAGCAACTTATTTCACTCTTAATGGGACCATAATTTACAAAGTGAACATCAAGCTGTACTGAAGAAGATTTCAAACTTTATGGATTAAAAATAAAATAACCAGAAAATTATCAGGAAAATGTTTACAAAAGTAATAAATGAAGGTAGAACAGGGGTCTTTCTCTCATTGCCTTTTGTACAATTTGACTATTTTTGCCACTAGGAGAGTTGCCCCCTGCAGGTCATTAGAAAGAATGCAAGTTTAATCCACTTTTGCATTGGCTTCACTTTTTAGAGGCTATGTCATCTTGTACATGAAGACTGTGCTTCTTACATGTGGTTAACAATCCAACTATGCCAAAATATAATGGTCCCACATGGGACATAAGCCCCAAGTGTCCTGCTTGAAAGTCCCTCCTCGAACTTACTGCACCACCATGTATGTTGAATGATTGAATGGTTCCCACTGTGTTCAAATATGAAGCCAAGGACATGTGAACAAGCATCTACAAGCATCATGTTGGGAGTTTGGAGTCAGAATGTGTTGATTATTTCTATGCATAATTATCTTACATAAATCCTCAGGAAAGGTCATATCATACAATCATATGATGCCACTATCAATTATTTTTATTATCATCTGAAAATTACTAATTGTAATAATAAATTGAATTTTTGGTGTTTAAACTAAAGAAATTATTGAAGTATATCCATCAACACTTGGCTTTATTTTTTGCTTATCTAGTGATCAAAATGTTTCCACATTCTTGTTCAAAAAGATGATCAAGACTGTCGCATTTATTTTCTGTAGATCAGGTTGCCGATTAATCAACTAATCATTTTGCGCTTGAGTACTGGTTGGTTTCCAGAAGCCTGAGGAATTGATTAAAACTAGGTTTATAATTGGGGTTAATTGAGGCCACAATATACCTTTTTGCCCGTAAGCCTCTTAGAAAGTTCATCTTGACATCAGTCTGTTCGTTCTTCATTCAGTCACACACAAGCACACATACACACTTTCCCACTCAAAGAGAAGCGCCATTAAACTGCTGATTCTGTGTGATGATTTTCTGTAGCTGTTGCTGTTTTTTTTTCCCACAAAAGATATTTTTGGAAACTGTAGAAACTGAAAGAAGCTACATCCTCTTATTTGGGGTGTTTTTAGACAGAAATTTGAACAACAACATGTTCTGCTAAACTGAAAGCATCCAAGCAGATAAATAAGATGTTTAAAACGGGTTATTTTTAAACCATACAGAGGATGTGTGTTAACATGTCCAACTCACCAATGAGTGTCAGTCCTTGCTGTGGGTTCAGTATAACTGACGTCTCCTCTTCCTCCTCCTCTTCTCCCCAATCTGCAATATTGGCTGGTGGGATGCACTGCTCCAAGAACAGGTCCTCCTCGTCTTCCTCCATGTCCATGTT